AAGATGACAAAAATAGATTGGGTGACCCTAAAAATAAACTCATTTCGAGCTTTCCAAATCGCCGAAATAGTAGAAAGACACGCAAAAATCTAGATATTGTGCAATTGTTGGGCAAATGGCTAACGTACGTAGACATTCCAAAAAGAAACCAGAGAATCTGAAAATGACAAAGAGGTACCAAATTGACATGCTAACCACTTCCAAAGTTGCCTAGATATCCGACAATTGAAGAAAAGTTGAATAGTAGGTTCCTCAAAATTATGGCAAAAACAACAAATGGACACCAAAGAAATATCACGTCGTTGAAGTGCACATTATGTAGGAAGTTTATCATGAAAAATCCACAAGTCAAAATAGATAGTTAAGGTGGAATAAAATGTCGCCAAATGTGTCACCTCTAGGCCCGGGCCCCTACCACATTCCGGGCTTGATTTCACCGGAGCACAATATTGTTCGCTTTGACCCTCGACCATGCCCTCACGGTTTTGTTTTTGGGAACTCACACGAGAACTTCGTAGTGGGTCACCCATCCTGGAATTGTTCTCGCACGAACTCACGTAACTTCGAAGTTCCTACAGGACCCCAAGCCAGTGAGCTCCCAAAAGGTTTCGTGCTAGGAAGAGATAAGAATATATATATAAGGCATAGATGATCCACTTCCCTGGGCGATGTGGGATGTTACAATCCATCCCCCCTTTAGAGGCCCGACGTCCTCGTCAGCACACTTCCGGCAAGGGATTGACTCTGATACCAGATTGTCACATCCCGTCCCGGGCCTCCACCACATCCCGGGCTCGACTCCACCATAACACAATATTGTCCGCTTTTGGCCCCGAGCATGCCCTCACGGTTTTGTTTCTTGGAACTCACACGAGAACTTCCTAGTGGGTCACCCATCCTGGGATTGTTCTCACGCGAACTCACTTAACTTCGAAGTTCCTACGAAACCCCAAGCCAGTGAGCTCCCAAAAGGCCTCGTGCTAGGTAGAGATGAGAATATACATATAAGGCATAGATGATCCACTCCCTTGGATGATGTGGGATGTTACCAAATGACCTTAGCCACAATCATAACAACTCATCATTTGAAAACATATAATATGTTTCTAAATAAACAAGACCACAATATTAATTCTTTCTACTCTACATTTGAAAACTTATGGCGCGTTTACGTAACCGTAATGAAAATATGAAGAATTAAATTGAGGAAGAATTGAATTTAGGAGGAATTGAATTGACAAGGAGTTGAAATTAGGAGAAGTCAGAATCGGATTCCTGTTGAAGCTGTTTACTCAAATGTTCTGGAATCAAAATATAAATGACACTAATTCCATAAAGCTGTTTATTAATTCAGCAAAATTGGAATATAAATCAGTATGATTACTAAAATGCCCTTGTCCCAAATCAAATATTATATAATTTTTTTTAATAAAATTTGATATAATATATAATAGCAAGAAAAAAATTAAATTGCTTTTTTTATTTCATAGACACACTAAAATGTTTTTGTTTATTTTTTTATAAATTTAAGTATTTACTTTAATGGATTTATAAAGGATAGTCTTGAAAATAAATAAAAAAGTAAGTGAGAGCATAAAGAAACAAAAGTGTCATTTCGATTGTCCAAGCAATCAGGATTCCAAATACTATGTTAATATAAATAATCCAAATCCTCCAAATTTTGGAATTGTATACCCCGTAATCAGAATTTAATTTTATATTTTAATTCCAATTACAGTTAGGTAAACGCGCCATAAATTAGTTGTAACGAAAAAAAAAAAAAAAAAATCTTTGGTTGTCCTTTGATCATCTTTTTCTTGTGCCGACTTCAGGAAGTAGTTTTTTAAAGCAACAAAAACACTTGAAGCACGCAAGCTCCGAAATACTTTAAGCGATTAACAACGACACGAGCAATTGCAGTTGATTTGAACTGTCATTATTTATTCAAATTCAAGATTTGCAGTACATACTTTTCCATGGAATGTCTTTGTTTGATGTTCTTCTCCAACTGCAAGTCTGCAAGTGCTACTTCCACTTGTGGAATAAAAAACGTGCTAATTAATAATAATACTCTTCACGTGGGTTTTTTGTTTAATATTTCGGCACAGGATAAAGCCACGATTTTAGTTTCATTTTTGAATTGATATACGAATAAGGATCCTCTTTGGATGATTTTTACGAAGATTCTGAGAATTCGCGTATCTTGTCCATCCATTGTAAATCGTACAGTTAGAAATTATTTAAAATTTTATTATTTAAAATTAACAAGAAAATAAGGTAATAATCATGCATGATTAATTAGTAACCATTCCTAATATTCGCTTTATTGTCCGATCATAATGAAGTCATGCACCCAACTTACAGGACTAGCAAATATGGCCTAGCTACAATTATTTGAGCAAGTGCGCACACTCTTTATCTACTTAAGTTTGAATATCATTTTCGTCAGTTAGATTAATTTAACATAAAATATTGTTTGTATAAAAGAATTTAGAGAATAATAGTTAGGTCTTTGTCTAATTTGAACCTTCTCATCGTTATAATTTTATACGGCCAGAGGATATTGAAACGCATGTACACAATTTATTTTGGCATTTTATATTAGCATCTCACAAAATATTGAATGCATCTCACGTTAAAATTTAATATTAAATGATTTATTTATCCTACTATACAATGACAATTTTGACCTTATTAGGTTTAAAAAAAATTTCTAAATACACCCCAAATCACTTTTAACGTATTATTTATCTTCTTCAACTATCAAAATCGCTCCGACCTCCATGATTGAACAAAATCCTAACCAATGAAACTACAAATATGTTGATTAAAAAATTATTTTGACGAATGAAACACGAAATCGATGTTTCGGAAGCTTCACATGAGGTAAGACTTCATATTCTTTATTCTTTTAGTGATTTTGACGATATCGATAATTATTTAATCTTACTTTTGCTGCGTTATTCAAGCTTCTGTATTCGTATTCATCTTTTAGAGATCACAAAGATTACATGAAGAATTAAAAACCTAAAATTACCACCAAATATTAAAAATAGATGACATGGGTTTTAATGGTAGAATTGTAAACAACCCACATATGCTTTAAATCTAAGGCATTAAAAGCTTTATAAGATTTGAGAAATGTGGGATGTATAAAAAATATGGGGTGCATGTAGAAAATGTAAGGTGTATATTGAGAATGTGAGGTGTGATGGTATTATGGGAAAGTGAGTGTGGTGTATTAAGATAATTTTTCATTGAAAAAGCAAATATGAGGTATATTAAATATGTAGGATTTATTCAACAATTTGTGGAGTGTTAATATAATAAGCCTTTATTTTAACCAAGCTTACTAAATAAGCAATCAAACGAGCAATTAATTTTTCAATGTATTAGAAGTTAATTAACACAGTCACGTGGCGTTAGAAGTAGGCCATATCAAACCCTGTCGTTCATTCATATTATATACTACATCACGTGACTTATATGCCTAAAAATTGTCAAAATATCTCCAATCAAACACCTATTCTCTTCTTTCATTTATCAACTCAACCACCAAGCATCCATCTAACTAATACAAACAGTGACACCATAAACAATAGGGATCTTAACTTGTGATCGGACAGATATATCCCTGACCTAGCACTCCTTAAGTCTTAACACGCAAAGAAACCATTTAATACATGCATCAAATGCACACACCAATACGTGTACATTAGAGATATGAAACCTGCAGACTCCTTTCCTCCTCTGCATATCTTTCCTTTTTTTTGGCTTTCGAAACAAATAAATTTCGAATAAAATAAATAAGAATTAAACCCTTTATATCTCTAAACTACTTATTAATAAAACATTATTTGTCAACAAAAAACTAATAAAATTACTACTATACCCTCTTAATACAAAACTGAAATAAGATATTAGAAAGAAAAAAAAGGAGAATTGTTATTAGCACTCTAAAAATCTCATTTTACACTTCAAACTTTCTATATTAGGAAAGAAAAATACATTTGTAAGGAGTGTAGAATGAGATTTTTGAAATGCCAATAACACTTCTCAAAAAAAAAAAAACAACAATGTGAGTATTAAAGTAATTTTGTAAAAATAAGTTTTTACTTTTTTTTAAACCTCACAACTATGTCACTTTGTCAACACCCTCTCAACTCATTCTCTCTCTTTCTCTCTTTCCCAACTGTCAACCTCTACTTTTTTGGGATGCCTGCCAACCTGTTAAAAACAAATAACTCCTCTCATAAATAAAATAAAATACAAATGTTTAAAAAATGTATTTCTCAACTCATAGAGTGTGTAACCTTTGCTAGTATAAATAAAAGGAATTGTTATTAGCACTTCAAAAATTTCATTATACACTTTAAATTTTCTATATTAGGAAAGAAAAATACGCTTGTGAGGAATGTGAAATGAGATTTTTGGAATGCCAATAACACTTCCCTAAATAAATAAAAGTGTGTGTGCACAAAAAATGGTACATGAATCACTTTTTCGGTGTAAATTAATTAATTTAACTTATATTCCCTTATAGATTTTAACAATAGTAAAACATATATATTCTTTATTTTTAAATGGAAATGTCACATATACATGCACTCCAAATTTGTTACCTTTCAACACTAATTGTGGATTAATCTAATATAATATAACAATTATTTTCAAATACAATGATAAACTGAGAGTAGGAACAACAAGTTACACTAACTGCATTATTTTTTTAACACGACATATTAATTTTCTTGCACATTTTATGCAAGTAGAGTAGGGACGGATTCACTATCTCTATATGATGTAGACCCTAGCTACATTTGAGTGGAGACTAGATGTGGGCACGGTGTGGTTGGGTCCAGTTTTATTCTCAAACCAAAACTAGAATCAGAAAATATTAACGATTCGGTTCAGTACGGTACCTATATTCAAAAACTATATTAATTGATTTTTTCAGAAACCATCTTAATTGGGTGGGGTTAAAAAAAAAAACCCTATATATAACACCTCCTCTTGGCTCTCATCTTTCATCCTAAAAAACTCTCCATTTGCAAACCAAAGTTTTGTCATCAGAGGCAGCCATGTTCATAACTCTACTCTTATTTTGGTCTCTACTTTCGTTGCTCTATTTCTTCTTCACCCCCATCCAAAAACATCAAACTAGACTAACCAAACCACTATTGAATTCCACCTATGGCCCTTCCTCCTACCCCATAATTGGTTGCTTTATCTCTTTCTACAAGAACCAACACAACCTCCTAGACTGGTACACCAGTCTCCTCTCAGGCTCGCCGTCACAGACTATAGTTGTGCACAGGATAGGTGCACGACGCACTGTTGTGACGGGGAACCCATCCAACGTGGAGCACATTCTCAAAACAAACTTTGCAAACTTCCCCAAGGGAAAACCCCTAACTGAGTTCCTCGGGGACCTTCTGGGCTGCGGCATATTCAACGTGGATGGCGATTTGTGGTCCACGCAGCGCAAGCTCGCGAGCCACGAGTTCAGCATAAAGTCCCTAAGGGAGTTTGTGGTGAACACTCTCGAGGAAGAAGTCGAGCACCGACTTATTCCACTGCTGGAAGAAGCTGCAGAGAGCCAAAGGGTTTTGGATATGCAAGAAATACTGAGGAGGTTTGCTTTTGACACTGTGAGCAAGGTTTCTTTGGGCTCCGACCCGTTTTGCTTGGACTTGACCCGACCCGTGCCTCCCCTTGTGAAAGCTTTTGAATGTGCTGCTGAGATAAGTGCCAGGAGGGGTACGGCTCCTTTATATTTGATGTGGAAGATGAAGCGTGCATTGAGCATTGGGTCCGAAAAGAAGCTCAAGGAAGCTGTTAAGGTCGTTCATGGCTCTGTACATGGTACGAAATTGGATACTATCTTGATTTTAATTTCTTTTACACGAAAAAAATTGTCGATAGTGATGAAAGGTGGGAACGTTCGCACAGATATCATGTTGATATTTGGTTTACATTTGGCAGTGTCCAGGATGAAATTTTGATAACTCATTGATATTCTGTTCATGTTTGGTAATATCAATTAAGTGTTGAACATGCAGATGCAAATTAGACCAGCTCGTTAAGATAATGTGCCGTAAACTTTAGATTGGTTGCAAGTATCAGTAAATCATTTGCGTCTTCCATATTTCTCTTATTTTAGTTATTGAGTACAGATGCTAGATGCAACATCTTTTCATATATTTTCATTTAGCATTCTTTTTCATATAAATACAGATATTTTGTTTGATATTTTTGTATTTTCATTTAACACTATGATTTGATTGATTTGTTGCAGAAATAATCCAGAACAAAAAGAAAGTTTTTGAAAGAGATGGAGAGAGAAGTGAGAGCCACGACATGTTGTCACGGTTGTTATTAGCAGGGCACAGTGAAGAAGTGGTGAGAGACATGGTGATAAGCTTCATACTGGCCGGACGTGACACCACCTCAGCAGCCATGACTTGGCTCTTCTGGTTGCTCAGCAAGCATCCTGACATAACCCACAAGATCGCGAACGAAGTCGAAAACGTCGTCGTACAAAGAAATGGTACGGAAAAATTAGGGTTTGATGATTTGCAAAAAATGAGGTTTTTGAGGGCTTGTTTGTGTGAGTCTTTGAGGCTCTACCCACCAGTCCCGTGGGATTCCAAGCATGCTGAGGTGGACACTGTTCTGCCAGATGGGACTTGGGTTGGGAAGGGAGATAGGGTTACTTATTTTCCTTATGGGATGGGGAGGATGGAGGAGTTGTGGGGAAAAGACCGGTTCGAGTTTAACCCGGACCGGTGGTTTGATATTGAACCGGGTTGTGACGGTGATAAGGTTTTGAAATCGGTGAGTCCGTACAAGTTTCCGGTTTTTCAGGCCGGCCCGAGGGTTTGCCTTGGGAAGGAGATGGCTTTTATTCAGATGAAGTATGTGATGGCTTCGGTGTTAAGGCGGTTTGAGATCAGACCGGTTTGTGGGGAGGACCAGCCGGCTTTTGTTCCTCTCTTGACGGCCCACATGGCTGGGGGGTTGAAGGTGTTGGTTCGAAAAAGAAATTAGCTTATATTAGTACAAAACCTTCTAGGTAAACTCTACGCTTCAAACGGCATTGCATTTCGAATGTGATCTTTTTTTTTTAATTCTTATGTTTATGGCTATATTAAACGTGTTGAATGCAAATATGTCGTGGAGATATGGTGGTTATAATTCAAGGTAAAAGACGCGTAATTGGGTTGACCCGATCGAGTTTAACCCACTTATTTAGTTTGAAGTAAGCATTCATGTTCAACTCGTTCGATCCAATTAAAAATTGAGTTACCCATGTATATATAATTAGGGGTGGTTCGGTATGGGATATCATACCGAAACTAGTATCCCGAATCCTAAACCAAAATTTTTTGGAATGGGAATTTGAAGACCAATCCCAAACCAAATTTTCGGGAATCCCAAATTTCGGGAATCCCAAAATATTTTCGGGATTTTGGGACAAATCGGGAATCCCAAATTGAAATATGAAATTATGAATTGTTCTTCAAATATATAATTCAAGAACACATTCATGAACTAGGAATTTCATTTCATTCACACTACCATTTAATTGAACACTGGCATGCCTGACTGTTTTTATCATAGTCAAAATTCAAATTAATTAAACCCTTTTTGCAATATTTTGAGAGACAAAAGAATCAAGCCTTCTAAAATCATCAGCCATGACAGCAGCAATAATAAAATCCACATGAATATCAAACAAAACATGAAAAATATGCAAGGTGTAGGGCATTCCAGGTTGCAGAGCATGAATTAAAAACTACTAGCATCAATTATAAAAGAATAATATATATATAATAATTAATATTATATATTTTCGGTTCGGTATGGGATTCCCGAAATATCGAGAAGCCAATCCCGAATCCTATACCGAAATTTTGGGATTGGTTCGGGATAGCATCCCGAAAATTTTGGGAATTTCGGTTTGGGAAATTTTTGGTTTGGGATCGGGATTTTTTCGGTTCGGTTCGGGATTTTTGGGAATTTTTTCCACCCCTATATATAATCCTGCGGCCTTATAAGGTTAACCCGATTAATTGGATTCAAATAAACTCAAGGGCAAGTCCAAAGTTGCTCAAATTGATCGGGTTGGCCAAAGTCTCAAAAACTAATCTTGCACTCCTTACTGAAAAGAAATAAAACTTAAAAGACGTATGAGTATGAGTGTATGATGACTATATGTCCCTGATTTATACCACGAATTTAGTTTTCGTCTCTGAATTCTACTATTAGTTGCTTCTGTCCTCGAAGTATGTCATTTAATGTACTAGTAGTTATTTTCGTTAACTCCGTCAACTTTTCATTAAATCGAGTAATAAAATAGGACTTTCATCCAAAAAATAATAAAATGAAATTTTTAAAGAAAAAGGCTTGGCTCCTCAAGGATTGAGGAGGAACTCCTCCTTAAAATACCTTGTGACTTATTCATTTCGTGCTTATGAGCGGAACTTCTTAAGGATTGACTAAGATTTTAGTTTTAATTAGTCTTTTGAATGATTTATGATATGAGTTTTGATCGTAAATACAAAATTCTGTGAATAGGTTATTTTGAGGAAAAATTCCTTCTTAACCTTAAAGAGCCAATTCTTCTCTTTTTTTAATAAATTAGATTTTTTTTTCTCTATATAACAAACCACTATACCCTTAAATTTGATGGAAAAGAAGACAGATTTGACGAAAGGACTACTCATGCAACATAGGGTTAAGTTCAACAAGAGAAACTAACATGAGAGTTCAAGGACAAAAACTAAACATGAGGTAAAGTTCAAGAACCATTGTTACCACACACCCAAAAGTCGATTGTAATAAGTGACCTCGATGCAAATGATAAAAATGAAAAATCAAAGTAGGCACCTATCAAGTGGCATATTGAGAGCTGGTTTGGTATTGCTGTGCTTTGAAAAAAAGCTGCTTCTGCTGTGCTGTGAGAATAAGCAGCTGTGAAATAAAGCAGCAGAGTGTTTGGTAAACTTTTTTATAAAAGTGCTTTTGAAAAAAAAAACCAGTATTATAGTGTTTGGTAAACTTTTATGTAAAATAGATGTGAAAAAAAGCCGGTTTTTTAAAGCTGGGTTTTGCAGCTTCTTGTTTTTGGCTTTTTTTCACCAAAAACTATGAAAAAAAACTGAAGCTGAATGTTTACCAAACACAAAAATAACTCCTAGCTTTTTTTGATACCACCTTTTTTCAGAATCACCTCAGTACCAAACCAGGCCTGAAACTAGGGTTCCATGTTAGTATAGTCTAGCAGACTAGACTGCATCTAAAGTTGGTAAGTTTTTTCCAAAAGCATGAGAGCTCGGGACACGAAATATTCAAAATGTTTTTTCTCAAGAGCATGTGAAATGTGATATTTAGACGAACACAAAGTTGAACAAGGTTTCACCTTTGACCTCAGAAAATTGGTAGAAGTTCACGTGCAAACTACAAACCCTAAATTTTGGGTGGAGTTCCAAAATTCATATTATTCATATTTAGCAAGCAGATAACTTGAGCCTATGTGGGATCTTAGTAAGAGTTGCAACATTATTGCTTTGCCATATATAGAATTCACCTGCTTGGACAGTGTCTGGCACTCGTGCGATATATCCATATATCCTTCAGAATTTTTTTAAAATCTACATTGCTTTTGAGGCTGTGTGATTGTGATCGATAGTCAATGGTTGAATTAAAATTCGAAAGCAGTATAATGTGTGAGCATAAGTAAGTCACTGATACGAATCCTAAAAGATTTCACACCTATCAAACAATACGAAAAGTTGTGGACATGCCACTTTATGCTCGTCCTTGGACTTGGAGTGTGCATGAAAAGTTGGATTCTTTCTTTTTTTGAAGGAGTGCGGGTTGAATAATTAGTGATAGGTTTCATGCTTGTACCAAAAAAGTATCTTCCACTCGGCCTTCGTTCGAAATGTGCATGACATGTTAGAGCAGCTCCAGCGGGAGCTCCTGCTCGAGGGACGGGCTCCGGAACAGGGCTGGATTGCCCAAGGGAGGAGGTCCAACGTTGGTTGGCGAGAGAGCCCGAGCAGGCTCGAGCGCTAGGTCCGTCGATTCGTGCCGGCCCGAGCGTTTGAAGGCAATCTGACGTGGACTGACGTCAGGACGACGTCTTCACGCTTTTTGAGGGCCACAGAGACGTGGGTTCCGACGAAACCGACTGTGCCGGTGACAAGAACGAACATGCAGACGGCATATCTTGTAAAATTTCTGACCTTTTTTTCTTTTGGTTTCCTCTCTTATGTCTCTTTTTCTTTGTTTATCCAAAACCCACAATTGACAAAATTTGGAACCCGTTTTTCAGTTGGATTGGATTTGAAAATTTGGGTTTTGTGATTTTGATATGCAAAAAGAAAGAGATCGAAGAAGAAAGGTAAACAAGTGCAGATTTTATTTGATTTGGGATATTAAAATATCTACCCTTTCACTCCCCTGCAAACTCATCTCCGCCGCTTCCTTCTCCCGCGACCACCGTCTCCTGCTGCTACTGCAACTTCAAATTCTGGGCTTTCAACAAACCCCTCTTCCATTTCGGCAAGATCCATTGCCGGATTCTCATGACTTGGTTCTCCGTCGGCATCGTATTCGATTTAACCTTGCTCTTCTCCGTCTCCCTCCTCCTCATATGGGAGCTCGGCAGAGCTCTCAATCTCTTCCATGGAAGCTTCTTCGTCCACGGTGATTTCAAGTTTTGTGGAAAAAAAATACTATTATTTTATAAATTAAAAAATACTATTATTTTATTACCTATTGCCATGACTATCCAAGTGCAATGGTAAAGATGCAAAAGACAATTACTATTTATTAAGAGTAGTTACTGTTCACTGAATGGATTAAATAATGAATAGCCTGGAGGGAGAGCTCCCACGCTGAAGTTGCTCTTAGTATATGTGCATTATTCGGCATGTAACTTCAAACTTTTCTTTAGTCGGAAAGAGTACAAATGTTTGCCTCCACTCAAAAAAATATAACCATGTTTGGGGTCAAACTTTGAAAGAATAAAAACGGTTTCTGACAACCAAAATCATGGATATATTTGGTTGAAAAACTTAAAAAGATTACTTTAAGATCATTGATGAAAAAAACACATGCCAAATGCTTGTCAGCCTTCTTCTGACAGCTCTTCTAAGTAAGCACTTGATTTTTTTTAATAAAAGTTTCAAACGCGTTTCTAATAAAACGAAAGTTCTATATTTTTTCCTCCCACAGGGTATCGTATCGCATCATGAATTCAATAAATTACGAAAAAAAAATTCTACCAAGGAAAGAATTGGATTGAAGAAACCAAATAAAGATGATATGAAATCAACAGGATCTAGATATCTTAGAAATACACGACTGCCACTTATTGAAACTTACCCAATTCCTTATTTCAAGTGCTTCCGGGAGCATCACTTCCGGCTGACTTTCGGTTCAAGTAACGAATAACAGCATCCTCAACCCTGAAAAAAAGGAACATCAAATTGGAAATTAATTGGGAGAAAAATATGGCAACGTCCCAATTTTTATACAAAATCCCCAGACCAACTAGCTTGTCTATTCAGAGAAGAACATGAAAGTGTCGTAAATACCACGATATTTGAGATTCCGTGGAATTCACACAATTGCGTGACAAAGGATGAAATTCTACTGTATATGATTTGCTTAATGTACGAAAGTTAACATCATAAAGCACTAAAGTTGATAAGTTTTATACTGTAAAGAAAAGTGACAGAACCAACAGAAAACCAAAGTCTGGATATTTCTCAAGAATATTTAGGCATCTAAAGTCTTTAATTGGATGAAGAAACCGTGAAAGTTCATCATATTTACTACGGTCATCGAGCAAGGATCTTATCACCAATACAAAAGCGAGGTGAACGTTGGGGTTCTAAATAAATAAAGGGTATCGAGGACGTCAATGCTAAATAGTTGGACTGAATAGCGACATGAAGTTAATTTGAGCAGTAAAATCATACTAAGAGTACAAAAGAAACACGCATAAAAATAGAAGTGTAAGTATAAAATGCCGAGCAAAAGCTTACCAAGGTTGATTGTAGAAATCGGAGCGGCGCTCCTTTTCCACATTACGACTAGCATCTCCAGCAACAAGCTTGAGATCCTTGCTCTGGGAAGCAATCAAAGTATTAATAAACTCTGCAGGAGATTGACTGAACCCAAGAAAGAAAGCTCGCCGCCGTCGATGTTCATGGATTTTTTTTATGGATGCACAAATCAATTCGTCACAAGCGTCAATCTCTTTGCTCCTCTCGGTGCTTCCCAAGAAAGCAGACATCTCTTTCTCTAATACCATGGGTACATCAACCAGTATATCATAGCAGGTAGTTCCAGCTGGGCAATTTCCTGAAAGTTTTATCTTATGCTCTATATGTATAGGCTGTGGTGGAGTTAAATGCTGTGATATCTTTTGTGAAACCATCGAAAACTTCATCTTCTCTTCCCCAAAAATCTTCTGAAGAGGTGGATCACACACAAAGAAAGTAGGGTCATTCGGGTTCTGCAACTTCCTGGCCTTGACATAGTGCCAAATAGCAGCTATAATTCTGGGTCGGGTCTCTACCTCAATTCCCAGAACTTCATGGAGAGCTGGTGAAAGTTTGAATTTCTCAGGTACATAATTCATCTCTAGTCTTACTATTGCAGTAAACTCCTTATCCCCTTTTCTTTTCACCTCAAAGCCATCATGAAGAGCGGGTGAACGGGAACTTTCCCATAAAATCACGTGGTTATCTGGATAGAGGGTTTGGTCCAAGTATATGGTAACTTTCTTGAACAGTGATGAAAATTTTGCCCTTGATTTTGGTGTCAATCCAGCCACCACAGGATCCCTCCCGTCTTCCAGTAACCTCCCAATTATCTTAAGTGACCATGAAGGGGGTTCCGCATTTGTCTTCTCAGGATTTGTTTGTGTCTGATTCGCAAAGGTGTTGAATACATAAACTCTAAGTGTTCTCTGAACACGGGGGGGACATTTAAGGGACTCTTGGATGTCCATCTTCTTCCTTGCCAAAGCAGCATCAACACGAGACTCAAATTCAAGCAACTGAGTATAAAGACCAGACTCTGGTAGAAGTGCAGCCACTTTGTCCGGTATTTGTTTATCAGGTAGCTTTTGCTTCTTTCTACGAGCAGCTGGGGTGAGCTCCATGGTTTTAAATGGTGAACCCGTGTTGGCACTAGATGAACCAGGAGGCCGAGAAGGTGGCTTCTGGTTCGCCCGCTTAGCAGTTCCTGTGCTAGGTGTTGCCACGGAGGGTGATGAACCACCAACATTACTTGTATTCGCATTATGCAACTGGGCAAGAGACTGAGCTTGAGCTTGCAACTGAACAAATTGGGCATGGGCAGCTTGGGTTTGGGCTTGTGCGTGAGCATTCACATACTGTGCCTGTGCAAGTGCCTGCGCTTGCGGCTCAGACAACTGAAAGTGCCCTGGAAAATGAGCTCCCCCTTGTGTCGGAGGCTGCGATTGAGTGAGAAGATGAGGCTGGTGATTCATGGCCACAGGTTGCGACACCGCCCCAGAATTGCCAAAGTGGGGTGGCACCCCCACATTCCTGGGCTGATTATTATTATTCATCACCTCAATTATAAAAAACCACAACCTTTAACACACCAAAACTATTCCATCAAAAACCCCAAAACCCTAATCGAAACCTCTGATATCCTCAACTTCCAAATCCCCAACAACGAAATTAAACCCGGGTTTCGACTCTACCGAGCTTCCTTCTTCAACTAAACAAAAAGACACGATCTTTTCACCTCGGAAGGCTTACAATATTGCTGAAACACTGAAAAATTCAAACTTCCTAGCAAGAACTTCTGCAGAACACAAAACCCTAATTTCAGAAGCAGAACCCAGAATTCAAACATCAAAAGCAGCAAAATTCAATCCAAATTCAAGCATTGCAGAAGCAGCTAGTGAGTTCAAAGCTTATGCTGGCTGTGTTAATACAAGCTAATTTAATTTATCAGAATTAAGAAGCTGACTACGCAAAAATTAAAAAACAACTAGGAATTTAAAATCATAGGAAAATAATTAGATCATCAAATAATTGACCATACGACATATACATACTTGTTGCTAGCTTCTGTAGCTTCTCCTTCTCTCTCTCTCTGCTTACAGATCGGCAATGGAGCGGAACCGGTTCTCTCCCTATCGCTATCTCTCTTTTCTTTTGCGATTTTGTTCAGTTCGTGAATTTACACAATTGCCCTTTTTTAAACGAGGGCCTCATAATCGTTCATACGTGTCGGGGATCGATGTGTGGTGTATGTTTAGTTCAGATTAGCACGTGCTTAAATTCCCAAGATATTTTTTATTATAACGGGAACACGAATAGTATAACACGTATTTTTATATAAATAGTGAAAAATTTTATTTTTTAAGTGATTAACTTTTTAACACACAAATCTCACTAGTTACTATTTATATAGGGAATTGTTATTAGCACTCCAAAAATCACATTCTACACTTCCAAATTTTCTATATTAGGAAAGAAAAATAAACTTATGAGAAGTGTAGAATAAGATTTTTAGAGTACTAATAACACTTTCTTTTATATAATAACATATAATATACCACTTCGTATATCAGTGACACTTAAAAATCTCTGGTATTTTGAGAAGGGCACATGAACTTGGCTTATTTCGAGATTTCCCAGTGTACCGTCCATTTTGGCCATGAGATATATTTGCGTTGACTGCAACATTAATTACAGTTTTTCTTTTATGATATGATTAGATTTTAAATAAAACACGTATTATTCTTAAATTGATCAAATGACCGATGACTTTCATACAATAATAGAGTATCGCATATGAGCTCAAACCTTTATGTGAATTTACTTGCACTAGCCTTCACGCACATGATGATGTTCGCCTCGGTCTTCTATTTTATTTTTGGCATATTTTACTAATTTTCTTATTTTAAGCTGTTTCACATTACAATGTATAATTTAATATTTGCAATACAAAGATCGTTAATGCATGACTTCATTAATATTTTAGAACACGTAAATTTGTCTATTGTCCTTGAATTTGTCAAATCGAGAGTAATTTTTATTCCTTCAAATAGAAAAAAAAAAAAGAAGAAAAAAAACTCACATAAAAATGTGATAAATTTAGTGGTTCAAGAGCAACTTGTCACAATTTAAACGAATAATCAAAATTGAAAGTTGAGAGAAAAATGGAAATGTCAGAAACGAGACCCAAACAATCCTCAATTTAAGGGCTCCTTTTCACAACTGTTTAGTGTTGACTTCAGCCCAAAGCATAAAATTCGAGCCCAGAAGCAGACAGTAATGCCTAAACAGGCTTAACTCTATGTTTCTCTCTTTATCGCATGTCTCAAAATATTGGTGATATTTACACTTATTTTTATTTTCACATAATTTTTATTGATTTTTGTTTAATAATGAACTTCGATTCATTCGATTTATCGTTCGAAATTTGAGATGTTTGTGTGGAAGGTAAGAGCTTAGCACACGCCGAAGAAGCAGCCATGGTAAGTCCTTTTGCTTTGTTTCCTACTTTTTGCATTTGAATCCACTTTCTTCGTTTCTGAAAGCAACGAATTTGAAGCAAATTTTTTGTTCGTTCGGAAACAAAAATCAGATTTCTGAAATTCTCGATATGTTCGATTTCTTAATTTTTATGGTGATTTTTTTAGGAGAAGTATTGGAGGGAGCCAAACAACCAGACCAAGTGTAAGCCATTGTCATTATTTTGTAGTTTTCACAAATATATATATATATATATATATATATATATATATATATATATATAATTGTTATTAACACTCCAAAAATTTCATTATACACTTCTTATAAGTATATTTTTTTTCTAATTATAGAAAGTTTGGAGTGTCAAATGAAAATTTTAGAGTGCTAATAACAATTTCTTATATATATATATATATTCTCATTTGGTACGTGAAATTTGAAGTTTGAATTTTATATATTTTTAAGTTTTCTTTATATATTATAAAGAAAACAAATGAAAATGACTTGAAAATTTTGACTTTTAATAATAAGGATAAAATAAAAGGTAAAGTGAATAATATCAAGTTTGACTTTATAATGTAAAAATGTGGTTTTTCGTTAAAGTGAACAGTACCGCGGACCGTTCGTTAAAACTCCCATTATTATATATGTTAAATCGTAAATCAACCTGCAAAGCGAGGGGCAGCAAGCCACTAAAAACCGCCATTCCAATGGACAGGAAAGGTGGCCGGTGAAATCTGCACAGTTTTATTCTGTACTTGCTTAAGAATGCTGAGAGCAATGCTCTGGTATTAAGATTATGCTTTACTTGTATTCGGTTTTCAGTCACTACAGCTTCATATCTGCATGCTAGCTGCATATATGTTATCTGTTGACATATTCTCTAGCCTAAAGGTTCAGATGTGGATTCGCTTAACGTATCTCGTATCCAGGTAAACCAAGCCCGGAAGCAAAGGCGCTGCACATACCGTGCTCATGGCGGAATTAATCGCAAGTGTTTTGGACATCCTGAGACTCAGCTGGCTAGCAGGAAAGAGAAGGGACAGCTCTACCTCTGCGCAGTGGTGCTTCTTCTTGAACAACGACAGTTGAACATGTCATGAGAGCTGTTGGTACTTTTGTTGTTTCTCGGAGCTTATGTGGAACGTGAAACATGTTTGAACTACTTCAAGTTCAAGCTGTCTGCCTTCGGTGCCCCGACCACATTGTTGCTACAACTTTTACTTATGAATGAAAAATTGTAATGGATGATTTTGATCATGGCATTTGCTTTATGTACAGAAGTTGTTCCCAATGTTCCCAAATCCTATACATTGGGCTGAATTCTCTAGGGTACAGCTTTTGAGTAGGGTACACCTTGCACTTCAAGCGGCTCATTTCTGGTCGTTATATGCTCTTGGATTCTTTAAATATATTCACTAGTTAAGTACATCAATTTATGTTTTATGGATGTAATTTAAATTTTCACTACTTCAACTAGCTCAAAGTCCAATGGTTCTCTCGACAATGATCAATTAGTTGTTAGTTTAATGGTACTCGATTTCTAGGTTATTGAGACATGAACAAGTTTGAATTCCCCTATTATCAGTTGATAAAAGAAGAGGATTTTTAGCCAAATGGTTTATGAGATTGACATAACTCTTCACTTTGATTCCTGAAATTTATAATCGTTAGAAGTGGTTTCTGAATTTGTCCATCATTAATCAATGTGAAAAACCTCCGTTGGATAACATAAAATGATAAAAATATCTTCAATTTTTGTCAAATCATTTTGACGAATTGTTTATCAATTGAAAGTATTTTTATGATTTTAGTTCTTATTTAACATAGATTTTTTACATAATGACTACTCCTATCGATTTTAATTTTTAGGAAACAAAGTAAGAAGTTACGCTAAATTTAAAGATGATTTTAGATATAAAATCAAAAGAAAATAATGGTTATTTGTCCACACGTTAAATTAGGTGGGTTGAGTTCTTTTCCCGTTTAATAATACAACTTTTGAGCAATTAATTACATTCCCTCTTCTGTCTTGTTCCAGACCAATTAAACATATTTTTCCTACCAACGAAAAGAAATTTAATTTTTGTTGATAAGATTTGTCTTATCATTTGACAGTTTCATCCAGCTGCTATGTGACGAACTCAATCCAGGCATTATATTTAGAGCAGGAATGGAGATTGAGTACCATCCTAAGGTTTGTTTCGAGATATTTTTAAAATAGTTGAAATTGTTTTGGGTGAAAAAAAATTTCTGGATAAAATTCTTTGTAAAATATAAGTAAACACTGAAAAGTGCTTTTCAAATTCAAAATATTTTGTCTAAAACCCTTTTTAGTAATTTTGTTAAAAATACTTCCAAACGAATACTTAATTTGGAGTCAATTAACACAAAATATTACAGTAAAAACATAAATAAACAAAAAAGTTAATATCTTTATTTTATGAAGCGTTTGGTAACATGTAACTATCACAACACTAATGTTTTTGTGATTGATTTTGAAAGGTTGTGACACATAATTAATGGAAAATAAATTTCTATAAATGGAACTATAGAATATTACCATAATAAATAGAAGAATATTTAAAGACTTTACATGAAAGTAACACAAAAATGTATCATGCAACGATGAAAACCATGCACAATATAAGATCCATTCTAAAGACAAATCGCATTATCCCATCAAAATTTTGACCAATTTTATTCATTTGCACAAGTGAAAAGGTGTATCATTTCAAATACAATTTAAGGGGTTTTTTTATTTTTTTATTTATTTTTAGTATATCAATATTTTTACACAAAGGAAAATTCGGCTAAGCTACAAAATGGGCAGTCTAATTTGGTATTGAATTCACCATCCACGAGATTTGAACCTAAGACCTATCATTTTCTAATACCTTCAATTGAGAGATTTTTCAGCATTTAACATAACAAATCCGAATTTGGCTTGTTCATTTTCTTTAATTGTTCGAACAAATTTAAAACCAATGTGCTCGTTTGTGTAGATACAACTTAGCTAACTACGATCAAGAAAATTGTGTAGCCATTAAGAACATCCATGAAACGTTGCTAAATAATGTCTGTTATACCTATTCAATACCCATTAGTATATAAATTATGCACTTTTGTGCATTTTAAAGTGTTTTACCAAATATAATTGCCACGTTGCATGTCACATCCTGACCCGGTCCCCAACCACAACTCAGGCTTGACTCCACCGTAACACAATATTGTCCGTTTTGGGCCTCGACCACGCCCTCACGGTTTTGTTACTTGCTGAACTTCGGAGTTCCGATGGAACCCGAAGCCAGTGAGTTCCCAAAAGGCCTCGTGCTAGGTAGGCATGAGAATATACATATAAAGTTTACAGGATCCATTCCCTTGTGAGACGTGAGATGTTACAATCCACCCCCTTTAGTGGCCCGATGTCCTCGTCGGCACACACGCGGCCATGGTTAGGCTCGATTCGGGATCCTAGTAGACATTCCGTGTCGGGGTGTGTCATTGTAACTCTAGCAACTGACTAAGAAAATTGCTAATGAGATTTTTTTTTAAAGTGAGATTTTTTGTTGCTTTATGTTTTTGTGCTAATTTTTGTGCCAATATTATAAAATATTGATAGTGAGTCTATAGAGATTTCCACTTTTTAGAGAGTCCACTTATCATTTCTCACCGACTAATATAAACTTATCAAACATGCATGAGACACACACTAT